AGGTATCAAACACTGAAAGTTGTCGGATATTGTCGAGTACGGGGCAAGCAATTGGATTTGGTGTAGGGAACTCCTCATTAAACTGGAGGACATTACGTTTATAAGGTTCATATTTAGTTTTCAATGCGGATTGTTTATCACTCAAATTTTTCTTGGCCTTTTGTTGGGGTCGTGTACCTTTGAAACGTTGTAGTCAGTGTCTATTGAATTAGAATTACACTATTCCCTTGATAATTCACCAGTTCTCTCATCACTTTTCTTCTGCATTTCAAAAACATCTACTTTGGCCCTGTATAACTTGGCTTTAGCCACTCGTATTCTGATGAGCTTGCGCCCTTTGGAGGCTTTATGTATTACTGTATGTCAGCCACTTGTATAAAAATGGATTGGTGTTGGTTATTGACGTACTCGAAGCGCCCGGCATGTCACGATAGTGGTCTCCCCCAAGTTCCCCCACCAAAGCATCAATATCGGCCTCAATGATCTGTAGTGTACCCGGCAAATGAGCAATTTTTGTTTTGTCTTCGTTGGTGCGAAGTCCTCTGCGCTTTGATTTCAGAGCCTTTAATGTGTCACTGTACAGTATGAATGAAGTGTACAAATCATCAGGCAAACAAATAGGACATGGTTGAATCTTCTGCGTAGATGACACAAACTCAACCTGACATCCTTATGCTGCTCCTCTAATGATACCAACTTGTTCAATTTGACATTCAAAGCGTGAGATGTCTCTTTCACCAGCACCTGAAGCTGACATTCTCGTTGACGTTTCCACTGATCTGTTAGATACTCATCAGAATAAGTCGGATTGTTGCTTTGTAAGGCATTCAAGTGTTGACAGCTTTTATGATACAGGCTGTGACTTGTAGACAATCGTTGGAGTAACCATCGCACTATATATGGATACAAATACATTTCTCAACGATTGGCCGGTTAAAGAACATTAGGATCATACTGTACCCAACACCTTACGTCCAGCCTCATTGATATGGTGAGTTCGCAGCTCCAAAGCGCAAAGGCGGTGGAATGCTGTTGAATACCTGAGAGCCCCTACCAACGGGGCAAGCTTCGACCAAATTCTCTCTAGGCCTTCCCCATCCAAAAGGCCCCAGTCCTCGTTGAGTTGAGGATTATACTGCAATTGACACGACCATTGATGAACGTATGAATGGAACACACTGGTTCCAAATTTCAGCTGATTATTTGCACGAGCACGGGTGAAAAAGTTCCGCTGTACAAATGAACAGTGTGGTCAATAGATCACTCGTTTCAAGGTCTCAAGCTGCAAGAGTATTGTACCTTTATGATGCTCTTTTCCAAATTGCATCCAATGTCATAGAGTATACCAAACCTGAGCTTTTCAACAGTATTATCGTCTTGACCCATTTCCTTGAGGATATGATCTATCATTGATAGCGGGGTAGTATCCTCTGTTTGAGGCAGGTTGTAAGTTCAAGTGATCTAATGAAAAGAGATGATGGGCTGACACCTACCTCTCGCCAGTCTGTATAATATTGATAAACTTGATGAGGTGGTCATGTCGGCATGCCATCCCCATCAAGCTAGAGTATCCAACCTCTGGCTCTAGGATAGCTGCACTGCCGTCTTGGCGCCCACTTGCGATCCGTTTTT